ATCAGAAGGATTCAGATCATATCAGAAAAGATCAGAAAGATTCAGATAAGATCAAATCAGAAAAATTCATATCAACTTAAAAAATTCAAATCAGAAACATTCAGATCAGGTGAAAGAGAACAACTTCCTAGTTCTCAAATTGATACACAATCGTCTTCTGCCCTTTCCAATAATGGGTCATAGTATGTTCATCACCTATTTAATCTAATGTCCAAATCTATTATTCTCACCATATGATATGGTTCATGAACTCGTCTCCTAGATTTAAAATTTCCAAATTTAAATTAGTACACTAACACACAACGTTATAGAATATGATTACTGTGATATACTCCCCACGTCCCCGAAACAACTTCCTATTTTGACTTACACACATATTAAGAAGTAAAACTTAACAGGGAGTAAATTACTGTTGTGACACTGTTTGACATGGTTTGACACTGTTTGCATTGTTTTGCACTACTTTGCATTGTTTTGATGTAGATATTTTTCATTTAAGGAAAAGGGAATTTAAATTAGGGACAACCAAATAAGAAAACTGGGAAGTTATTTCATGTACGGAGGGAGTATATAAGAATGATGCTTATATAGTGATGGTTGCCTTGATACCAATTGAGTCCCAAGTGAGGTAAAAGTCTAGAGGGAGGTGAATAGCTTTTAAATCTTTTTGTTTTTCAGCCCATTTTTCTCTAACAGAATGTGTTTCAATATCTTTTGGGAGATATTGAAACATACAGCGCAAGTCTTTACCTCAAGAGTGTGACACTTTATGTAAACAAAGGTTATGACCCTTTTAGTTGTGAAGAGATGGCTAAAACATGTTACAAATGTGTTTGCCAGAAATAGATGACTCAAGGAGCAGACTGCTGAAATCTGAAGGAGCTGGCAGCCAAACAGTTTGGAGCTGACTGCCAAAACCTTTAGGAGCTGGCTGCCGAAATTAAGGTTCTGCTTCAATTAGTTAAGGTATAGCAATGAGCTATACTCTAACATATTGATAGGCTTTAGAACTAGTCTTAACACATAAGTATGAAGAATTTAGACCTATAAAAAAAGATCACTTTGATGATCAGAAAATAAGGAGTTGACTCACAGTGAACTGGAAGGTTCACTCGACAGTTTAGTGAGCAAACTATTTTACTGTGAAGTTGTGAAGGTGAGTGAGAACTGAATTTATGTTAGGAGCAGAATGTAAAAGATGACACAAGATATATCATGGCTAAGAGAAGAGTGAGTTGATTTCAGATGGGTTAACTGGAAAACAAGATTTCAGCTGGCTGCCAAGTTTTCAGCCGGCTGCCAAGTTTTCAGCTGGCTGCTGAAATTTGTGTTTTTCCAATTAGCTCCCTTCAATGAATACAAGTTAACTCTTTTGCGTACCTTTTCTTTTTTATTCTTTTCTTTTCATTTTATGTTACGTTTCTTCTCTTTTTAGTACTCTTTGCTTTTTATGAGGATTTTATCACTAATATTGGAGCATATTACAATAAACAAAGTAGAACATAAACAAGAGACTAGTCTAATACATGAATAATAAAGAGGGGTGACATCATCAAAACTATTACATTTTAATCATCAAAATCTAGGGGACCTAACATATAGTCTGGAAACTAGAGAGTATCGGTCTAAAATTATAGCGTAGAACTAAAATTTAATTTAAACCCCTCCAGATTTCTCATGGATTATTAACAATGATAAATGTAATGAACAGTTGTTTTGAATCTGGTATTTGAATTTAATATCCACTTCTTTAATGTTGGATAAAAAAGTTGTTTTGAAAGTTGATAATTGGAAACTTGACTTTGTTATTAAGAAAAATAAGATTAAAAGTTGATAATTAGAAACTTGACTTTGATGTTAAGAGAAATAAGATCAACATTTTAAATTTGTGTATAAATAGTACCTCCGTCCCCCTAAGTTTGGGACAAGAGAAAGTGGCATATGGTTATTAATAAAAGTGGTTTTATGTGGTTGATATTAAATTGATAAAGTAAGAATAAAGTAAGAATGATTTAGAACCACACAAGTTTTACCAAATAAGGTATGTGACAATCTTGGTGGGACGGATCGAAAAGGTAAAATGGGACAATCATAATGGGACGGGGGGAGTATGTTTTAAATCCCTGCAAATATAGCACATTTTGATTTAGATCCCTGCAATTTTTTTTTGTTTTTCATCCATGGAATTTATGGTGGTTTTCTTTTTAGTGCATCACCGATGATAACAAGTTTCATTTGACAAAAAACTACTCCGACTAAAAGACTTCATCTAATTCTTCGTCATATTATTCAAAAAATATTTAATTTTAACATTTAGAAGGTTTTTAATACATATTTGAAACATGTGAATAATTAATTTTACATTACTTTAACTCTCATATTAGTCTCAAAAAAATTATCAAAGGATAAATTTAATTTTTTTTAGTAGATTTATGCAATCGGTAATAACGTTTTTCCCAAATTGAGTGATTTTGGGGTAGGAGATGGACTAAAAACAAAATAGAGCATTTCACAAGGATTAAAAACAAAACAAAAATATTTTGCAGGGACCTAAAACAAAGTGTGTCATGTTTGCAGGGACTAAAACCATATTTAAGCCTTAAATTTATGTATACATTTAAGATTTTTTAACTGTAGAAAGAGGGGTGATCCACTCATAGCTAGTATGTTAAACACATGCACTAAAACTATAAAACCAGATAATCTTTCTTAAAATAAACTTCATTTATTTAGTTCTATATGAGTTTTAGATTACCAGATTTCAATTAGAAGAGTACACCTCACAAACTTATAGAATGTGGATATTGATCATTTGATTGTCATATATGTCTAGGAATAATGTATTATAGTAGGACTGTAAAATAATAATGTATAAGTTAGATTCCAACCCGAATCGCTTCTGATTGTAATTGTCACAAAAAGGCGGCTCCCAAATAGATCTGAGAATCTGGTTACCAACTCGATGTGTTGCTGAGCGTTTGTGTCTATAACCTCGCTCCAAACCTCAATCCTTTCTCTTCAAATTCCAATTATTCAGGCTTACTCTGATGCCTCGGACAACTTTGATCACTACTCCGATGACTTTTTCTTCTCAGATGATTTTCTAGGACATGCAACCGAAAGTGATCATCATCATCCTATATCAAAACAAGAAGAAATTGGAAACTCCAAATTCAACAGATCAATTTGCCATAGATCAAAGTTCGTCACTTACGAAAATTGTCTGCCAACAGACAATCTAAATACGCAACTCAAACTTAACAGAAAATCTCAGAAAAATAAAAGAAGGCACAACAAGAGAACTAGATCGCAGTCCAGAGATTTCCTGGACTAGTTTTATGGTTTTTACTCTTTCTTTTGATCAATGTACTTTTTTACTTTTACTTTTCTTGTTGCATTGTACTTTTTATTTATATGAATAAAATCTTCTTTTCCCCTCAAAAAAAGAGATTACACACAACAACAATAAAAACTAGCCATATGAGATTTCGTTGAACAAGTGTTGATGAAAAAACTAAAAAACACACCTAAATGCCTAGATGGGAACAACAAGTATTGTATTTAGGGATTAAAAAATGAAAAACAATTTACTTATTTTATGTGGATTAATAAAATTTTGTAATAAATTGGTAAAGAAATACGTTAAGTCAGTTGTAATTTAATTAGTTAAAGATAAAGGTAAGTAAAAAATAAAAAATAATTAGATGTAACTCGTGCATAATTAGATGTATCTCGTGCATAAAAAGATGTAACTCGCGCATAAGTAGACGTAACTTCATGTATTATCAAATATAACTCAAATGAATGTATAAATGTAATCCGCACATATGAAATAGGGAAAATGGAAACTAATAATCCAACCTTTTAGCGGTCTTTAACAATTCACATGATCGTAATTCAGGAATAATCCAACCTTTGCACTTCATCTTCATTCGTTGGTCCGTGACTGGTTGATGACCTGCTAATGTAGGTCTTTTCATTTTCTTTGCAATTCATTCAACCATCAATCCCACTTTTCACAAACCTTCTTCAAGCGGTCCCACATATCATTTTTCTTTTTTCTCCCTAAAACTTTTCCTTTAATATTTTTTTCGTCTTAACTCTTTTACTCCCCTTTTTGTCTTCTTCTTCTTCTTATTTTTATTTCTTTTCCATTTTTTTCAGTGTTTATGTATTCCATTTTTCCTTCTTTTTCTTCTTCCCATTTATTAGTTCATTTTTATTTTTATATTTTTTTCAGATTAGTTTCCTTATAAAAGATCTTTTTCTCACTGTATTAACTTTTTCCTTTACTTTCTTTACTTACACTTATTTATTTCATTTTTCCTTTTCTTAACTTTATTCCACCACTAATATATTTTTAAGAAAAGATAAGGTGAATTGTTAAAGACTATTGTTAAAGATAATGTGAATTATAAGGTGAATTGTAATTATGAATTGGAAAGCTAATCCTATTTATGAAATTTTGCAATTATACTCATATTCTTACCATTAAAGTTTCATTAAATACAATTTAAGGAATGTCCCATATATTTTTCTCCTTCATAAAAAATTCTAAAAAAATATATACAAGTAGTTTGGAAACAAAAATTATAAAAAGAGACTACAACCAATAGTATTACATAAGAAAGAAATAAAAATTTTATGAAGAAAAAATAAAAATCATATGTGCGACCGTTTCAAGAAGATTTGTAAAAAGGAGATTTATAATTGAATGATTTACAAACAAAATGAAAAAACCTAGAATAACCTATCATCAGCCAGTCAAGACTAACAAATGAAGATGAGATGAGGATTTTAATAAGGAAAAATCTGTTTGTACCCACTATTGTACCCATTTTTGTACCCACCATGTCTGTGAGGAGTTTTTTTTTGTCTGTGAATCCCGGTCATAGACAAAAATATGTCTATAAAGACATGGTGGGTACAAAAGTGGGTACAATAATGGGTAAAAAATCCTTCTTTCTTTTAATTATTAATTTTCATTTTCCCCAAATGGGCGTGGGTGTTCCAAACATGGCTGACTGCGAGCCACTACCGGATTTACCGACTACGCAGAATACGGTGTTGATAGGAAAGAAAAGCACCGAGTACATCCTTCCCTTATTTCCCGAATAACCTTTTCCTTCATATCATTTGCCTGGTTATTGAAAACCCCGTTGCCAACCATAAAAAGTTTCGGAAAATTAGAGGTTGGTGATTGCATATTTCATTTTATGAATATCTACGATCTGTTATCATGATTTTCATCTTTTACCAATTTCTTTTTCCGACGGTCGATGAATTTTCAGGGATGAGCAGAGAGACACCGCCTGAGCCACTTAATTTCTTTATTTGGACAGTTGAGGTACTAATTTGCACATTCTATAGGTAGTACTTCATTTAGATCTCAGTTTCCGCTAGTTCTGAATCAACCTGCTAAGCTTGAGTACTGATCACAAATATTCTCAGCTATTCCAGCCTATATTGACGCTCCAAACTGCAACAATTTTGAGCTGATCCTTAACTGTCTATTAATCTGTTCTGGGGCTTTCTTTATATGTTTTGGAGATGTTGAGTGTATGAAGTCTATTTTTTCTAGGTTATTGAGCAATGAGCCGTGTCTGAAAGCCCTGGCCTTTCGGTACGAAGTTTAGAATGTACTCATGGTGTTCATAGATATAGTAATAGTGGTATACAAGAGTGTTTTTCTTTGCATTGTTTTGCTAAGGAAGAAGTTAAAGAAGTGACTAGAATATGTTTTCTTCAAAGAGGATGATTTTGAATGCTAGCCTAACTTTATTAGCCATTGAGCTAATGAGCTATATATGTGATTATTTTCATGAAGTTTATAACTTTGTCATGCAATTATAGTTCTGTTTTTTTAAAGATGATAATTGAGGATTTTATTTCTAAGATTGCACCTGGTTAAATGAATTCTATGAAATTTTACAAGTATGGGTTATTTTTTATATTATTTTTATTTGTTACGGGTCATCCGGAAACAGTCTCTCTATGCTTCAGCACATGGGTAAGCGTAAGAGTGTAAGACCGCGTACATCCGAACGCAAACAGTTTCTCTTTGCGACACTGGGGCAATGATGATTGTTTATTTTTTATTTAAGTATGAGCCTTTTTTCATGTGAGGTTAGTAAATAAATAAAAGCCTCAAGCCTGCTTTAGCATTGACTATGCTACGGTGCTACCTTTTAAGAAACGTCTTGAGAACTTCTGCTAAATTATATATTGTTATAATCTTGTTACTGTTTAGGATATGGTCCAATGTACTACGAAAGTCGCTGATTTAAGATCTAATTTGATGGTATTTTAATTTCCAAAAATGAACTAGAGGTGATGTTCATTTGCAGAGTCCCATGCATATTTCTTGCAAGAAATCAGTTTTTTATTGTATGGCATTTCGGTGACTCTTTTAGAAGTTAATGACTGTATATAATCATCTAAAGGTGTATGACTTTGTTCAATTTTCAAAAGCACACAGTTTTTTTTAGTTCTCTTTAAACTGGATGTAGAGAGAGTTCATTTGCTCCCATGCATATATCTTGCAAGAAATATGTTTTTTATTGTTTGGTAAGTTGGTGACTCTTTTAGAAGTGAATCAGTGAATGGCCCTATAGAATCTTCCAAAGGTGCATGCCCTTGTACAATCTTCAAAGGCACACTGTTTGATTTATCTCTTTTTAAACTGGATGTAGAGGGGTTTGTCTGTTTTCACCAATCTTCAGTATGGGTATTTCAGTTTGACCAAAAACAGCTGAGTGTTCTGAATTGTTAGTTGATGAAGGAACATAAACTACACCCATAACTTTAGGGTTGTTATCCTATTGACCAATTTTAATGGGATAGATAAAAAGAGGAAGAAAAAAGAGACTGATTATGGCTGAGTAGTGGAGGGCGTATATTCATGTGGAAGATTGATCTCTTTTTTCTCTTTTCTCTCTCTTTTTTTCTTTTATCTTGTATGTTCTTTATTTTTCTATGTTATTATGTTATTTTTATCTTTTATCTTTCTTATGCTCTTTATCTTTTTATCTTTTTATTCTTCTTATATTTCTTTTCTTTTTGGCTCTGATATCATGAATCGATTCATGTTAGTCGACCCCAAAGTCTTTTGGGAGTAAGGCTTGGATGATGTTGTTGTTTATTATGGCTGGGTACTATTAATTACATTGAAGGATATTTTGTAAAGCAACTTGAATTTAATATGTATTTTTCTTGTTCTTGTTTCCAGGATGTTGGTTTGTGGTTGGAAGAAATTAATCTCGGTAACTATAAACAAAGTTTCAAAGAAAATGGTGTTAATGGGGAGTTTCTGGAAGGGTTGTCAATGTTCTCCACTGAACAGATCCTACGGTTTATAAGAAGATGCCACATGAAATGGGGAGATTTTATAACATTATGTAAGGAGCTTAGGAGAATTAAAGGTCTCTTTCTCTCCCTTTACAATTCCTATTGTTGCATTGCTTCTTGTGCAAAACTTAAGAAATCATCAGCTAGTTTCATGATATGGTGGTCAAAGACAATATTTTATTGAAGTCCTGCCCTGCCTGCTTAGAGTTTCAATAACTATAGGGTTCCATTACTATGGTCTACACTCTACATATTTTTGTTACTGTCACAATTTTACTTGTCACAAACCCCTTGTTAGCGTAGTCAAACATTATAAACACTGTTGGTGTCCTTGCCTAGCTAGCCTTGATCAATTACTTTTTAGGCATCTGTTTGGTTCTCTATAAGGCTGGCTATACCTAATTCCACTTAGATCTCATCCTCTGATCACAAATACCTTATGGTCCGCCATGATTGGATGTTCAGACCCTTTGTCACCTGACCAGCTGGTTCAACAGTGCTTGTAGAGTTGTAGTTGTGGCAGCCTGGCAATCAGCCTATAAAGTTGATGCTCGTAACCTAGCTGTACTGCTTTAGTGCCCATACAGCTTGACTGGGCTTTGTGTCTCTTGGCCTACATCCTGTAGGCGTAGCCAAACTCATAACCCAGTCACGGTTCGACTTATGTCCTGACATGAGCCATTTTCATGGCTGTTTGGTAGCTATAATTTCCCTCTCAAGTCACCTTGAGTGCGACCCAGTTTCAGCCATTTTAGAGGCATTGCCTAACCCACCCACCCCAGTTTAATATAAGCCCTGTTGTGGCTATTTGCCACATTGATTCTACCCTCATCATCATCATCAATCACCCCAATGCTGCAAAGGCTCCCAACTACGGTGATTCTAACCCAAGCAAAATAAACACAAGTTAAATATTAGCCTGTTGTTCTTTCATAACAGAATGCTGTTATGTATCCCCCACCCCACCCCTCCCATTCTGGCATGCTTCTTTCACGATGCTAAATTAAAGGCTTTTTTGTTTGTTAGTGGCTTGCTTAAAGGGTGAACAGAAAGTACACGGTCCGTGGTGGGCTCCATCATGCCTTTCTGTAGTCTTTGTCAAGGCGGCCAAGCGCAACAGGCAGTCAAGAGTTGTTTCATTGAAACTTGAATCTTGACATTTGGAGGATTTTCACAACAGCAGCTTGTATATGTCGTTTATCTTCTTTAGGTGTTGATGGATGGTTGGATGCTATGCCTTTTTTGGTTGCCTTTCTCTTCTTTTGATGTATACTTCCTTTGTTAATGTTGTCGGTATATGTTTTTCTTGTGTTTCTAGTGGGGAGAACATCCTCTCTTATGATTCTTACGGGGTACGAGTATTATTTAGGCATGGACCAAACCGGTTCCGGGGCCTAGGCCCTGGCCCGGTTGGGCCTTTTGTGTTTAGGGGAAGGCCCGGGACCGGCCCGGGGTTCCACCGGGTCCGGTTCGGTTCGGGCCGGGCCTCAGTCCGGGCCTCGGGCCTGGTTGTAATACTTTTTTTCTTTCCTAACTACCCCCTGACCCCCCCTCACCCCCCCCCCCCCCAAAGTCCAAAACATCAGGCCCAACCTGGGAAGCCCAATAAAAATGAAAAAAAAAAAACATTTTGGGGCCCGAACCGGGTTTGGTCCCGGCCGGGCCGGGTCCCCATTTCAGCAGCCCGAGCCCGCCCCACTTTATCTTTCAAATCGGGCCAAGGACTGGTTTCGGACCTGAGGCACCGGGCCGGGCTGTTCTCGCACAGTAGTGGGCTGGTTCCCGGGCCGGGTGGCCCAAACCTGGTCCGTGTCTATTATTTATAATTTATACCGATAGTATTTTGTAGGTTTTCAAATAGTTTTGCAAAAAAAAACTACTTGTAAGTTGTAAAAAAGGTGTGATGATATCAACCTAGGAGTGGACTGGGCCCGGGCCGGGCTTCGGGCTGGACTGGGGCGGCCTCCAAGTCATAAATATTCAGTCCTAGTACCGGCCCGGGTTAGAATCGGGACCGGGCCAAGTCGTGCAATTTTTATTTTTATTTTTATTTAGTCTTTTAGAATTAATTCGAACCCCCTCCCCCCCCCCCCTCCAAAACCCCCACCCCCCAAACCCCCCACCCCCATTCTCCACTAAAGAGTGTTAACGCAAATAAGCAAAAGTGTAAGCGAAATATGAAAAAGTGCAAATTTAGGACTTTGCAAGGTAAAAATTCTTTTTATTTGAACTCTCCCATGTGTGTAGTGTTGGACTCGGGCCGGGCGGCCCGAACCGGAACCGGCCCGGTGGCCCGGTCCACCGGCGGTTCGGGTCGAACCGGCCCGGTGGATACCGGTTCCGGGCCCGGGCCCTCTATTTGGTGAACCGGCCTGGCCGGTTCGGGCCCGCTCCGGGCCGGAATAATTTTTTTTTGAAATTTTTTTAAGTTTTGGGTTGGATTAGGTATTTTGGGCCATTTGAGGTGGTTTGGGGTGGTTTGGGGTTGAGGGGGAGGGGTAGGGGTTTAAATAAGAGAAGCCAAAAAATCAAAAAAAAAAAAAATGGGGCGGGTGAACCGGCCCGGAACCGGCCCGGTCTGGCCCGGAACCGGCCCGGAACCGGTCAGCTGCCGGTTCGGGCCCGGGCCCTCCTTTTGGTGAACCGAGGCCCGGCCGGTTCAAGGCCCGAACCGGGCCCGACCCGAACCGAGTCCAGCCCTACATGTGTGTATGTGCGCGCGCGTGTGTGTGTTTATACACACACACACACACACACACACACATGTTCAGGTCAGGAGTTCCTGATCGGAACCGCTGTCCGGACTGCGGCGTTTGGCCGCCTTTCGGGTGGAATTTTTTGATGAAATTTGTATCACATGTTCTCCATGAAGTCTAGTTTATCCACAAAAAATTTTTTATCAAGAGTTCTAGCGAGAACTCATCTTATGAAGATATACGAGATACAACTAAGGGAGGGTTTTTACGGTTTTAGGCTTTTAGCCTCAAAAGTTTTCTTAAATGTATCAAATTCTAAAATTAAAACCTCATTGTTGTATAGTGCAATTTAAACCTCATTGTTGTATAGTGCAATTTCATGGTCCAATTAGGGGACATTTTATTAATTGGTTGAAAGTGCCAATACAGAATGCGCGTGACTTTATTTGTTTTGTTGATACTATTTGAGTTGTTTATAAATAAAATTATTTAAAGCTTAACGTCCCCTAATTGTTACTTTCAGCCAATGAATAAAATGTCACCTACTTACAATATGAAATTGTGTTGTACAATCGTGAAATTTTAATTTTAGAACTTGGATCTACTTAAAATATTAAGCTTAAGAACCTCTTCTATTGTATCCTTAAATTTCTTATATATATATATATATATATATATATATATATATATATATATATATATATATATATATATATAATATTGATGTCATATAAAAGATATTAAAAAATTATTAATTTTGATATTTCTATCAAGCTCGGATTACAAATGAGAAAGTTGAAGCAATTTATAAAAAAGAGAGATTTTTTGAATTGGGGTCCCATCAAACGTGAAATGTCACTTCCTATTCTAGAAGAAACTCAAGAAAGTTGCCAATTGAATTGGCAAATATTATTTTTAGATAAATTCTATGGTACTCAACTACTCATAAGGTATTATACATTAGTCCACATAAATCAATAAAAACGTTACAATAGAATCATTTAAATAAAAATTAAAAGTTATATAATCATTTGAACCAATCAAATGAATGATAAGTATGATACCCCATTTTTAATTAGATAATGTAAGTTCGAAATAATTACATACTACCTCCATCCCGGTGGACTTTGCCAAGTGCAAAATAGGTGAGAAATAAGAATAGTAAAAATTGTGTGGTTGAAATTTGTGTAGAAGAGAGAGAAATGTGCAGCACCACAAATTAGTTGCTTTAATAGGAAAGTGGCAAAGTTTTTTGGGACAACCAAAAAGGAAAAGTTGACAGAGTCCAATGGGATGGAGGGAGTATTTATGACTAAAATATAGCTTCTTTATAAAATGTAACTAGTGACTGTAGTAGTAATGAAATTATAGTAACTTATGTTCAGTTTTTATACTTAAGTTAATATGACATATCATTGTAGTAACTAATAGTTCTCACCATATTTTTAGCTAGGGTTCATTCCAACAACATTTTTGAAATTGAGTTATAAGACTCTAATTTAGATTTGATTTAAAAATATTAGTGGATAAGTATGTACTATTCAGAAATTTAGAAAAAGTGGTCGCGTTGATGATGAACAGGTGTAGCATTGACATGGTCACATCTCTATGTTGTTTTGCGCTTGAGGTGTTCACATCTCGTTAAAAAGCTCTTTTGGAGTTTTATAATTCATATTCAAGCTTCGTTTTCAAAATATTACGACATTAGTACCTTCTGCACATAATTTCGAGTCGGAGACCCTACTTACGCTAAATATGCTCTTTTTACTCTGAAAATGCTACATTACAGAAAACTGATTGAGTATTTGATTTGATCATATCTTGCTATATGTTCTTCCACTTCAGACGTTATATATCTCATTGGAAAGATCATTTTGAGATTTAAAACCCCGTTTTCAAACTTCATTTGTTATGTACTATGTATTAAAGAGTAGGTATAGATTAAACGGAAATTCATAATCATTTTAGAGTTTACTCCAAACTCGTGTGGTAACTTTTTAATCGACTCTAATTTCGTAAATACCTTTTTATTTGACATTATTTTGAAGAAAAACTCGGCTACATAAGCCATAAATTTTGTACTTTCTTCGTCCCTTAAAACTAGACCAAGTTTGACCAGCACGGAGATTGATAAAGTAAAACTGTGTGGTTGAGGTTTGCGCAAGGAAGAGGGAAATAACTTGAACCTCAAATTCTGTACTTACAAGGGAAAGTTGCAAAGTTAGTGGTATAACACAAAAATGAAAGTTGACAAAGTTTTAAGGGATGAATTGAGTGGCTGAGTGCACACAAAAAGTCTTTGACAAATAAATCCACCCAAAGCGGACATCGGGTTTCGAGTTTTTCTGTCTTTGGTGCGGCGACCGTTTTTTAGCAGAGAAAGGAAATCACTCGCAAGCAATAGACTTGTATCGATATCTCACTGTGGTGGCCAATGGAGAAAACTCCGTGGGAGCCGCGGAAGGAAGGAGGAGAGGCGCCCAGAGAGGGGAAGGGCTCGGTGGATAAACTGATCTAGAAGTATGTTGGCCTAGACATCGGTGGAGCACCGGACAAACCGGTGATCGATGATCATGAAGAAGAGGCAGTCGAGTCGGTGGAAAACCGCTTTGGTGCGTCAACAATCATAGCGATGGTCCGACCTCCTCCTGAACCACCGCCAAGGGCTGAACTAGGTGCCAGGGTTCAAGAATTTGCTTATTTAGTTTTCTTCATGTTTCGTTTCTATTTGGATCTTTACTTTGTTTTGGTTGTACCATGTTTTCGGGCAAACAAACTCTAGAACCTAGAAAGTGTGATGAGGAGTCTGGTTTGCCTGTCATTGGCTCAGTTAAGCCCATAGCGGGATCAACGAATCAAATTGCTTATACAGAGGTGATTGATTCTAAGTCTGGTTCTAGGGCAGACGATAAACAGAAAGCTTGTTATCATTTTGTAATCTGCTTACATTCTGTTATCATAATTTAAGCCACTTTTGTTCAAAAAAAAGTTTTAAGGGATGAAGAGAGTATACGGTTTAGCACGTAGGGGCCCACATGCAGGGACAAATGCAATCACATACATAGAGCCAACTTTTAAGAGGTTCAATAGGTTCTGCATAATAGGGCCCCTAATTTTTTTAAAAATTATTAGTATTATATAGTAATATTATATATTAACACTATTTAATACACCCTCCGTCCCGCTATGATTGTCTCGTTTTACCATTTCGGTCCGTCCCACTAAGATTGTCTCATACCTTATTTGGTAAAGTTTGTGTGGTTTTAATTCATTCTTACTTTATTCTTACTTTATCAATTTAATATCAACCATATATACTCACATTTATTAATAACCGTGTCACTTTCTCTCGTCCCAAACTTAGGAGGGCGGATGTAGTAAAATACAATTAGTAAGAAAAAAAATACAATAATATCATTTTTTTCGTTTGTCCTTTACTCCTCCTTTACTCAAATATGAGTGATTAATTGTGTATTCAATTGATTTGATTTGAATATGGTATTTAGATTAAGATTTTTTTTTAATTTTGTACACAAATGTGGACCTCAATTTACGAGTCGGGTCTTCAAACAATTATACACACCGGACGAAAATTATCCATATGAAGCGAATCAACCAATCACCTTCTGCTTAGGTGTAAATAATGTAATCCACAAGCTGCCCTAAAATCCATTTATATTTGTAGCCACCCATTTGTAATACACACTTTCAGCAGCTAGTCTGTTTAGATCAATGGCCAGTTGTGGGTTTCAACAATCAGCATTCGCCGGAGAGAGTGGGCTGAGGCCCCGGAATGAGTTCCTCCGCAAGATTGGCAGCTTCGGCCCGGCCCGTTTCACCATGAGACGTACCGTCAAAACTGCTCCCCAAAGCATTTGGTAAATTCTAAACCCCTCGATCAAATCTATAAAGCGAGTTAAGTTGCTGTCTTTACTGAGTTGCTACAAAAATTTATGATTAATCAAATTTACGGAGTCTTGTCTTGGTTAAATACATATTTAAAAATCTGGGTAAAAGTTTCGTTACCATTCATTTTAGATTTTCAGCTAGTCAAAACTTTGGTCCAATTTTCAAAAAAAAAAAAAACTTTGGTCTAATTGGGTTTCTATGCAATTTATAGTTTCGTTCCAATTCAATCGGTTATACAAAGTATTAATGTATCAGGTAAATCGGCTCATATTAGCTCACAATACAAATAATTTGGGATGTGGGAATATGTAATTTGTAATACTTTTAGTTATTTTTTATTCATTGCATCATTATCCATTATTCCATTAGACATATGAATTTTATTACTCCGTATTACGAGTATTTATTTTAATGAATACATTTGGAATAATTGGACCGTTTTATTTATTTTTTATTTATTTTAAATCATTCATATTTCCATTCAATCAGTCCAAAAATTATGAAATAAGGAATCCTATCAATCCAAAAATTATGAAGTAAGAAAGTGCAAAATCAAATAACTTTACACTGAAATGAGATACATACTTTTAATGATTTTGGCAAAATCAAATATCACCTATAAAAGGTTAAAATTTGGAGTCCAGAGTCAAATTCGGACTTAAATTTTTTGTCAAGTTGACAGGTATGGGCCGGACCGTCCAAAGTACTTGGGCCCATTCTCCGAACAAACTCCTTCGTACCTCACCGGCGAGTTCCCCGGCGACTATGTTTGGGACACGGCTGGGCTCTCGGCCGACCCGGAGACCTTTGCCCGCAACCGTGAGCTGGAGGTGATCCACTGCCGTTGGGCCATGCTCGGCGCTCTGGGCTGCATCTTCCCGGAGATTCTATCAAAGAACGGCCTCAAATTCGGTGAGGCGGTATGGTTCAAGGCCGGAGCCCAAATTTTCTCCGAAGGTGGACTGGACTACTTGGGCAACCCGAACCTTATCCATGCCCAGAGCATTCTTGCTATCTTGGGCGTCCAGGTGGTGCTTATGGGCTTAGTGGAAGGATACAGGGTTGGAGGCGGCCCACTTGGAGAGGGCCTGGACAAGGTGTACCCCGGTGGATCGTTTGACCCACTGGGCCTGGCCGATGACCCGGAGGCATTCGCAGAGCTGAAAGTGAAAGAAATCAAGAATGGGCGGTTGGCGATGTTCTCAATGTTTGGGTTCTTTGTGCAGGCCATTGTTACTGGTAAGGGCCCAATAGAAAATCTTTTCGACCACGTTGCTGACCCAGTTGCTAATAATGCGTGGGCCTATGCCACCAACTTTGTACCCGGCAAGTGAAACCTTGTCCTAAATGGTATCTTTCTGTTTGTTTCAAGCTACCTTGCAGAATTATTTCAAAAGTCAACTATATGTGTTAAGAATAAAGACTACAGTCGCATATATTTCGTGTTAATATCATTTCTAAAAGTTCTTATACTGTATTAAATCAAAAAACAATTATTTTCCTTGAAAAAGAAACAATGATTCCAGGTTTTAAAAGATGAATAAATATCACTTGGTGAGCATTTTTTTTGCCCCATTTATATTTGGTAACACTGAAATTTGTTAAATCTACTGAAATTGATTAGCTGAATTCGTTGAATTATGAAATCTGGATTAGTTACAATTTATATTTGCATGAGTGGCCAGGTGTTGTGATGACGCTCTTGAATGTTCAACTCTAATTTGGGCAAATTACTTAAGTCATGAAATATTTGCGGAAGATTGGAATTTTTCAAAGGATGTTATCTCATAAGTCTATTCACGAAGTGTTTTCTAATTAAATATAGTATTCTTGCGACGAATATTGGATTCTTGATTCCTCTCTAAATGAGCTAGTATTAAATTCCTTTTTTACAGCATACCTAACGTAGCATGAGCTTGAATTTCCATTTTTTCGTAACCCGGAAGGCAAACCAGCATCAGTGGGGCAAATGTCGGGAAACATTTGCTGATGTTTTATTAGGTAATAAAAACAAAATACATAGGTGAGGTGAACAAAACCAAAACTCCACTAGAGAAGGCATTCCTTCCCGAAATACAAGATTAAAAAAATTTGAAATAAGGTTGATGGAGTATATTCCCATATACCTCAGGGGTATCATGACCAACGGACAAGGACTTCAGTTATATCATTATTTAGTACGAAGTTTCAGCCGAGGCCAACCTTGACAATGAGATCGGGTAACAACACAAGTCCACAGATCAACAAAGTATGGAACCACGGCGAGGCTGACCTCGATCCCCCGAGGTCGGTACAACATCGGGCTCCCAGATCACCAAAATAAGGCCAAATCTGAGGCAGACCTCGAGCACACAGAGGTCGGTACCAGATTTGACCTCGAACAACATGCACACGTCAACAGAAGTCAATGAATGTAAACATATGATCACCACCGAACAAAATAAAGACCAAAACAAAATCCTCTTGAACGAGCTCGCCATACTCGAGCTCTGAGCTCATGGAGCTCAGGGCCTCACTAACCAAATGTGTACTTAGACATTTCAGCAATCAAATATCGCGCAAGCTACCGCCACATCACCAGCGTTGTGCGAAGGCCACGTCACTCCGACAGTTAGAATGAAGAATATTTTGGATAGCACACACGTGTGTTCTGGTACAACTCTGTTACACACAGTACCAATCAACAAGTTGTCCAAAGTATCTTTCCAATCATTATTACACGTGTCACCATATTATTAGACTAGTACATCTATTATGTTAGGCGGGTGTGCCATGTGTCACCACCACAATAGAATAATATTTTTTTACTTATTGGCTAAGTATTTCTCCTTTAGTATAAATATCACATTCCAGCTTGTGGAAAGGGATCCGAAGTTCTCTATGCAAACTTGATGTTACTTTGCCCAAATTGGTACTTGATCTTACTTAGCACTTTACAGTCTCTCCTATTTCTCGGATTCCGGCTACCCTTAGGTCGTCGATCCATCAAAGGTAAACCTAAATTATCAGAAATAATTGATTTTTTAACCAAGTGGTTTACATCATAAATATTGAAAAAAGAAATTAATGAAATGTCTGAATGTGTTGGATAAGTCTTCGCCATAAAGTGAGCAGAAAGGTTACAAAGCAGGGAAATTTTATATCCATACCTATCAACAAATGTGAAACATGTTAATTAAACGGAAATTCAAGCTCAGTAAAATTTTGATAGGCGTGTCAGATGTGTTGGATAAGTCTTTCGCCATAAAGGTTACAAAGCAAGAAAATTTTATATTCATGCCTATCAACAAATGTAAAATGTGTTGATTAAACGGAAATTGAAATTCACGATTTTCATGTATTGAGCTTGAATTTCTGTTTAATTTGATGAGATCAATTTGATTCATTGATGCAGAAGTATACTCGTACAAAGAGAATAGAGAAGAAAGCATTGCTTCATTGATGAAAAATGATAGTCGACTATTCTAAGTAAACAAACTGTACAAGAAGATTATAAATAGTAGTTGGATCATAACAAACTTCTAACTAACTACTTGTTCTAGAAGAGTCTAGTAGGATCTAGTGTCTTCTTTTTTCTTCTTGTGCTTTACGTGTGCATGCATCAGTTTGGACTCGAGCTTGGTCTTGTTCACTTGCCACGTGTTTATTGTTTCATGTTGTTGTACGTGGACCCCCCCCTCCCCTCCCTCAAGATAAGAGTACAGATTTTGTACACTCATCTTGGATAGAAAAGAATGAAACATAGTTCGTTCTAGAGGTTTTGTGAACAAGTCAGGTTTTGTGAACAAGTCAGCAATCTAATGCCATTCTGAATCCATTCCCGTATAAAATGGAAGTCTATCTCCACGTGTTTGGTTCTTTCATGATGAACATGATTAGCAGCAAGTGCTAAAGCTGATTTACTATCACAAAATATGGTAGCTTTAGTCACTGGGAGTCTAAGTTCTTTAAAAAGCTATAATAAGCTAAGAACTTCTACAGCAGTGCTGGCTAGAGCACAGTATTCAGCTTCAGTTGAGCTTATTGAAATAGTATGTTGTTTATTTGATTTCCAAGAGATGAGAGAGTCTCCTAGAAACATGCAGTAACCTGTTATGGATTTTCATGTATCAATGCCGCTTGCCCAATCTGAGTTTGAAAAAGCTTTGAGTTGTAAAGAAGATTTGGAGGAGTAGACACTACTGGAAAAATCATTAATTGATGCGGTTATTTTGACGTATTTGCTGCGGTTTTGAACTGCAGCAATAGCCGGAGCAGCAAAAAAGCGAAATTGCTATTTGCTGTGGTTACAACCGTAGCAAATAAGAGGCGTTATTTTTTTTGGAATACACTAATTGTTGCGGTTCCTCTATGACCGCAGCAAATACATTTACAAATTTTTTTTTTATTTCCTATCTTAACCGCAGCAATAAGTGTTAAATTCAAAATAAAATTGCACCTATTTTCACAATACTTTTCTAAATTGACAATTTTAGAGATTCAGCAAACAGAAACCTTCACATAAAACCTGAATTGTAACTAAACTAACAATCCAAAAATATGGTCCACATTCAATACAACAAAAATATATTGTTAATACATTCCTTCACACATTATAGTGTTACAACAAATTATCACAAACATATATCGCCCATCTGTCCCGGACCTCATCAATTTCTACCATTGAAAATGCCTCATCTCTTAAGGTGCTTCCGTACACCTACAAATATTTACCAACTGTAATTAGTACAACCACAAATTGTAATATATTTTGATAAAAATAACATTTTCACATTTATAATATAATCTCTTTAATTTGATGTTTACTAATTAAATACATGTTTCATCATTTGCTGCTTTTAAGCAGTTTTCATTCCTAACATGTATCTCCAAATAAATTGTCACCCGTTTAACATATTGGTATTCTCTGGTACAATTAACCATTCCCGGTCAGTTGCTTCAAATGAAGGGCAACTCAGAATAGTTTTTCTTAAAGCACTTGCAAAATTGAAAAAAAAAATGATATTATGATTATTAATTACTATGGTGTACTCTCATGGTCTCATGCTAACTATTGAAGTAATGTAATCTCAACCGACCTTAGTGATGTAGTTCATAGTTCATACCTCAAGCCTCAGAGCTGAGACTTAACTAAGAACTCACTTTTGACATTTCAAGTGACACATGAGCAGATTGTTGTGATGGGAATGATGAGTATGATGGCAAAACAAAGTGCCCAAATATGTGCTGGGAGGCTGGCAAGGAGGCTAGAGATAGGTTAAAGAAAAGAATCACAATATAATCCGTATCAGAAAGGTGTTATTATAAGGAAGTCCGAAGTTGACAACGCAAAACTGGAAATTTTGAAGGAGGAAGCAGAATTGGTGAAACTAACAAAAGAGGAGAAGATACTTAAAGAAATAGTTGAGCAGTTGAGGGGTAAAGCTCTGTCTGTGTATGTCAAAATATATAATAAGCCACTCAATATATGTAGCACCGTTTGGTGTCAAGTGAGGTCCATTGATCATACTGGCACCAGACTATTCACAGTTTCTACTGAGTACCAACATTAGTTTATTTCCTTTTATCAAGAGCACAAGAAACAGATAGAAAAGGCCGAAGAAAAGGAACAATTGCAAAGAGAGAAGGAAGAGAAAGAAAAGAGAGAAACTGAAGAAGCTAAGTTGGAGGATACCAATTAAAATTGAGAAAAACCATGAGGAAGCTGTAAACATGAAAGATGGCCTCCGTGAAGATATCCCCTCAGAGAAAGAACGAAATAAATTAATAAATAACTATAGTTTGTTTTTGAAATAAATTTGGATTATTCAAAAAAAGACAACAAATAAAATCACCATTTTTGTGAAGGAATAACATATTACAAAATAATTTCGATTAAAGAAATTAACATATGTCATTAGTACGCATTTTAATATACCTGCTCCAGATCTTGGCCTTCATTGATACTTCTGATCACATCATACATTTCATTACATAAAATCCACACTCCAAGCTGCCTGTCTGTTTTGCGCACTGAAATGTGAAATTATACACATAACATATTCGTTATTCATAATGTTATCTATAACGCAACATTATTATATAAGAAAAACAACCATTATAGCTTATCTTTAAGTCCATACTGAATAAAACACTTACATTGTTTTATTTTCCTTATAATGAAACAACCAATTAACCAGTAAATGGAAAATAAAACCTCAAAAATCAATTCAAAAATAAAATTAAAAAGTATTACATATATAACATAATAAGGAGGGAGAATGTTCTATAGCTACTCTTAATGTCTAGTAAACCAATTCAGCCACAAATGGATTACATAACTCAAAATTGACTTAAAGCCACAAATCAAAGAGGCAAAAAATGGAATGAATTCGAGATTTTTTATTTTTTATACATATAATCATACTTTTCAACAATCAGTGAATACACCATGAGCAACATCAAAGAGAAACTTCGTACAATTTCCAAATCGAAAAGTTGAGTGCGTACCTTAGGGTGAGAAGAGGGATAAAAGTTTTCAGAAATATGAGGGTAGCGGCTGGATGAGGCGGCAAACTGTTGGAGGAGGCGGATGTTGCGATTTGACGGAGACGGTGGTGGCTTGCGACTGGAGCGAGGTACCTGCTGCGCGTGGGCGGCGGATCTGCTGCGCGAAGGTAGCGACGGGATTAGGTCGATCTGAATGTCTAGCTAGCTGATCGATACCCGGCGATGGCCCTTGAACCCACAAATATTTTCGGACTTACTGCTGCGGTTGCCGTGTGCCCGCAGCAAATGTGTATAAAGTAATTTTTAAAAATGAAATTGCTGCGGTTTGGCTGTGATAGCAGCAAATAAAGTAAAATTTTTGCTACAAATGCTGCGCGTCTTCTATGACCGCAGCAAATAGTGATGTTTTTTCAAGGTATTTGCTGCGGTTCCTATTTAACCGCAGCAAATACGGTGCAGCAAATGACAAAAATTCTAGTAGTGAGAATAAGCCTTGTCCTGTAGAACCTTTTAGATATCTAAGGATCTGGTGTGTTGCAGATAGATGTGAATGACCAGGCTTTTGCATAAATTGGGCTAAAGTGTTAACAACAAAACTAATGTCAGGTCTGGTGATTGTTAAGTATAAAAGCTTCCCAATTAAAGACCTGTATGTGGATGGATCATTTAGGTAGTGTTCATCATGACTGCTTAAATGAAGTTTCTTATGCATGAGAAAAGAGACATGTGTACAATCATGATATCCAAATTCTTCAATAGATATGTGGTGTATTTGCGCTGACATAAGTAAAGACCTGTAGATGAACGGGCTACCTCTAAACCCAAGAAGAACTTAACAGGTCCTAGATCCTTGATTTTGACGTTATCATCCAAGAATCTTTTAAGATGGAAATTTGTTGCTGATTAGAACATGCCACTAGGATATCATCAACACAAACCAATAGTATCAATGTGAAGTTGTTCTTATGCAATGTGAATAGAGAATAGTCCACATGAGACTGAACAAATCCATATGTCGTCAAAGCATTTGACAACTTAGAAAACCATTGTCTGTTGGCCTGTTTAAGTCCATATAAGCTTTTAAGTAACCTGCAGACTTTATTTGTGTTCTATTGTTCAAAACCTTGAGGAATTGTCATGTATACCTCTTCATGTAAGTCCCCATGAAGAAAAGCATTGTGAACATCTAATTGTTCTAAGATGCAACTAGAGTTAGAAGTATTCTAACTGTTGTGAGCTTTGCAACTGGAGAGAATGAATCAAGAAAAGCCAAACCTTCAACTTATGTAAATCCCTTTGCAACAAGGCGTGATTTATAACT